TGTGTGTGTGTGTGTGTGTGTGTGTGTGTGTGTGTGTGTGTGTGTGTGTGTGTGTATCTGTCTGTCCAAAAACTCACTATGACAGTATAATCTTGTCTTTCATAGAGAGTGGGTACTCCCTCAATGTGTTGAGAACATGACGTAATAGCTCCACGTCCTCAGACCCTCCTGTGCGCGCCACAGAGAGGATTTCTTCAAACCAGTCGACCCTGAGGGAGGGAAAGGGGGGGGGGGGGAGGGGATGGGGGGGGGGGGTTGAGGGGATGGAAAGAGGGGATTGAGGGGATGGAAAGAGGAGGTTGAGGGGATGGAAAAAGGGAGTTGAGGGGATGGAAAGAGGAGGTTGAGGGGATGGAAAGAGGGAGTTGACGGGACAGTTTGTCACACACCCAGTTTGTCACAGGCCCAGTTTATCACAAGCCCAGTTTGTCACACACCTAGTTTGTCATACATCCAGCTTGTCACAGACCCAGTTTGTAACAGACCCAGTTTGTCGCAGGCCCAGTTTGTCACAGGACCAGTTTGTCACACACCCAGTTTGTCACAGGACCAGTTTGTCACAGGCCCAGTTTGTCACTGGCCTCGACTGTGCCAAGCATGATGGAAGGTATCACTGACACTCTCAAAAAGAGTAAATGAATGACTGATTGATTGTATGAATTAAAATTCTTTTATTTTTCTATTGTTTTTAACGAAAAAACATTCATTGTTGAAATTTTACAGAGTAATTTGCTTTTATTTGCATACAAAAAGGAAGAAATATTGAACAACACCACGCTGAATTGACATTTTAGAGGGACTACCTCTAATTTGAAGGTGGAGAATTTAAAAAACCTAAGTTACAACTACAGTGTTAAAGTGCTGTAATTATGACTGTCATCAATACCCAGATACTTAAATGAAATTCTGACAAACTGGGCCTGTGACAAACTGGGCAGCCCCGTTTGTTTTCGCTGGTTTCTAATGTAAAACCCAAAAGCCACTGTTTCTTATACAGCTATACTTTTCTAAAGAGATGATGATATTGATATTAGTGTTGATGATGATGATGATGACGATGATGATGATGGTGTTGATGTTGTTGGTGATAACGATGATGATGATGATGATGATGATGATGATGATGATGATGATGATGATGATGGTGATGATGATGTCGATGAAGATGGCTTTTATGAAAACAATGGCAACGATGACAAGAAGAAGAAGAAGAAGAAGAAGAAGAAGAAGAAGAAGAAGAAGAAGAAGAAGAAGAAGAAGAAGAAGAAGAAGAAGAAGAACAACAACAA